CTACTTACTCTCTCTCTCTCTCTCTCTCTCTCTCTCTCTCTCTCTCTCTCTCTTTCTCTCTCTTTATACTCTCCTCCACATTATTACTCTCTTTCCCGCGTGCATTTTTCTCGTGACCTGTGGTTCCAAGGTCCTTAATCTTTTTGCCTGATCTCTCGTCTTGGAAATCGATTTAAATCTTAAATCTTCTTACTATTAAATAATATAGAAGATAGATGTAGATCATCGACGACGATCGTGATTCCTAGAGGTGATCGTTCAATTTTCGGATTTGTCGTGATCGATCGTGCTCCTTCTATTAACTACTACGTTTTGTCCACGTTTCATGAATTTCACGAAGGTGGTCGATCGAAAATGATCGATCTTTCCCTGTTGTCTGTTCGAACGCTAGAAAGAGAAATCAGGTCGACGAGACGAATTTCTGCAAACGACGAAACCTGCGTGAGAAAGAAAGAAAGAAAAAAAAAAAAGAAACCTCTCAGCTTCCGCTCGTTCTTGTTCTCGCTCTTGGTCTCGAATCTTGGCATCTTGAACGCTTCCAATTCGGCAAATTATTCGTCGCCGATTATTACTCGCACTCGATTTATTGAATTTTTCAATTCCCTTTCCGCGCCAGCGCCCTCTTCTTCCGTTTCTAAAGCAAGCTTCTCCGCCAACTTTTCCGGGAATTCGATGAAATTTTTTTAACGCGACTCGAACGAGTCCGATATTACGTGCCTCATAAACGGTGGAACGTTATTGTTCTCCTCTGCCGTGTGCGTTTTCCTATTGTACGCCAGTAAAACACGTGGACGTAAACTTTCGAATGAGACCGATCACAAAGTTTGGTTAGCGGATCTGGACTGTAAACGTTGGAATTTGAAATTTAGATACGACGATAGATTTGAGAAGGATAGTATAATTCGTAACAGCTTCGAGAGATTATCGTTTATGCCTCTGTCTCTTAGATCTTATCGAGAGAATTGCGAGATTATTTATGTTCGAAAGAGATTAAGAAATTGAAATTCAATATTTATCGTGGGGGACACGATGATACGTTTCATATTTCATCACCGTCGTTTATCGTTTATTCGAAGAGTGTAATCCAAAATCCGTTGAACTATTCGAAGCCAAAGAGAAAGTGAAATTATATTTTTAGAAAATATACGAAGCGTTTTACCAAAGATCCGTGACAAAGTATGAAGAAAGTTCGAAAAAAAAAGAAAAGAGATTCTACTTTGCTTTCTTCGTCGTCTTCCAAAGAATATTTAATCGGGACAAGAAAAAAAAAAAAAGAACGGGAAAACGATTTATCGTTGCGACGAATAAAAGACGAGGCCTGCGTCTAACGTGATTGAAAAAAAAAAAGAAAAAAAGGAAAGAAAGAAAGAATTTGCTATATCTTTCGTTCGTCATTGAAATCTTTGCACGCATATTAAATACGAATATTAAAGCGTAATAGAAGCGCAAAGACTGATTAATAAACATCGTAGGAAGGTGAGAGGTGTATGTTTGTAAACGAACGTTCAACATACACGGTGTATATATATACACGCAATCGTGTATCACATACGCGCGCGCGCCCCCGTTTAAAATGCGACGCAATTTATTTATAACGCGAAAATAGCGTAGATCCGTTTCTGAATTTAAAATACGATGATAGAGGACGGTGTACAAAGAGGGAAGAATGAAAGGATCGATTTTAAATATGGTGCTGGGGAAAGGATGTATCGTCGGTTATATATCTCTCGAGGTATATACATACGTAATACCGACGAAATATCTCTTTCCGGATAGGCATACACTTCCGTTGACATAGCAACATTTGTGCCAATATATAAACGAGGCTGATTACGCGATATTTTGATTTATTAGTCGATCCGTGTCGGCGGATCACACTGAGCGGAAATAATAGAATTATTTTTAAAAACGATCACGTTACGCGCGCCACGTGCGATCGACACGTTACGGGACGACGGTTAACGTGGCTCCTCGATCGTTGAGCGAGCAACAAATTCTGATGGATCATCACGACTGACGAAGAAAACTGATTCATAACGCGAGTATAAGAAGGAGGTATTATAATTAAGTTTTATTTAAGTTTGGATCGAATTTTTGACGATGAGAGAATTCGATCGATCGGCGTAGTTGCGATGCAAGTGGAACAGAATTTAGTGAATTTCCATCCCGAACGTGTTAATCGCCCGTGCGCGTGACAACGTATATGCGCAAATATCCGATATGTATAAGCCATGCCTGTAAACGCGAATACACGCAAGCAGTAATCACGTAGAATGATTCGTGTAAATAAAATTTATGCGTGCATACGATGAAAAGAGAAATCGAATTATATAAGAAGCCAAATTGATTCGACTTTTCTTCTTCCAAAGAAAAAAAAAAATTGTTCGATTTTAAACATTGGAATATAAAATGATTAGCGAATATTAGCGTTTTAACGAAGTTCAACGAAGTAGCTCCCCTCGATGATGAGGACCGATCAGTTTGGCTTTCGTACGTGGCTGGAATATCGATGATTTTTCGAGAGACAAGGGAGAGACAAGCGAGAATCGAGGAGAGACAGAAAAATTGAAAGCTTAAATGCTATAGCCCAAATAAAAGAAAATACCTCTTGCTTTTAAGGAGATCGATGAAGATAATAATTAGCATGTAAGCGTTCGACACACATTTTTTTTCTGTTTGTGGAGAGCTTTCAACAATGCTGAGGATGATAGTGACGAGCAGAAGGTAAAAAGAAGAAAGAAAAAAAAAAGAAAGAAAGGAAGGAAGAAAGAAAATATTATGAAGTGAAAAAAAAAGAACAAATCGCATAATATTGTTCATTCACGTCACAAGTGCGAAGCATTACCTACACATATGTATAATACATAACGCTCAGGCGACTTCAGCGGGAATCGTATGTTGCGTATACAAATGTTATATATATACATACGATATATTCTTTATGGTTTATGATTTTTTGCGAATTTAAAAATATAATTACCATTGTGAGTGTATCACTGATAACCATTGTGTTAGCGAGGATACTCGACGAACAATAAAGAATTTAATTATTCAGCAACGATTTGCCCACCCCCTCGAATCTCGTTATATTTTCGCTTTGCTTCCGCTTGAAAAAAATTCTCATTCGGTGTTACACGAGTGTTAACATGGTGAAAATCAAACATCTGATTGTCTCATCTCTGAATCATAATCGTAAACTTTCTTTCATAATAATGTTAGTCTAATATTTTTTTTTTTTATTCAAACTATCGATCGAATGAAAATGGAAATAGAAACGGAAATTAAAGTGGAAATGAAAATGGAACTGGAAATAGAAATGGAAATGGAAAAGAATCCACATTTTACTATTTCGGCGACGAGAAACCCTGTCTCTCGCAAACGAAATACAAATCTTGAAATCTATTCGTTTCCTTCTAGTGACACATTTTTCACTTTTTTTTTCAGGTCGTCTGAAATGCTACTGCGGGAGACGCTTCAAGCACCTGTTCTCGTTGGTGTGCCATCAACGTGGTGAATGTGGCCAGGGATATCAGTGTAAAAACTGCAACTTTAAAACCGACAAGCTTTATTTGTGGTCGCGTCATGTGAAATCGTCAAATTGTAAACATTAAAGAGAAAAAGAATTATCGTTTTATCAAATTTCATTAGATTGTTAAGGATTGTATTTTTCATAAATAACATTTGCGACGATTGTCTCTCCAGAGATTTAATAAACGTTTAACAATATGATTCTATTCGCTTATAATTATAATTATTTTGTGAAAAAAATATATACACGTGTATTTATATAAGGGATATATGCAAGAACGATCTATGACACAAGAATCTAAATTTCAGAATAATACAAAAAAATTCGACGTTCTTAGAATCCCAGAAGTTTCGATTCGTGTTTAACTCGGCTGGATTCGATAATAATTGGATAGAATCGGTTTGAGAGCCGAATCTTTCGATTATTACCGAGTTAATATTAATTTCCATCGTCGTCCACGTTTAGTTGAAGCTTTCGAGATCTCGCGTGAGTGTCGTGATTCTCAGTCGATCTCACCCGATCTCGTCCGACCTCGCCCGATCTCATCCGAACTTCTCCGATTAGTTCCGATAATCTTCGGATCTCGCACATCATATTTACGTAGAAAGTTTATCGAAAGAAGAAAGAAGAATCAGTGTGTTTTAAATCCGACCTCTGACGAGCAACGAATGACGAATCTCGCGTACGGAGCATAAAAAATAATTAACACAAGATGCATTTCTGATTTCAGATGACAAGGGCCTGTATCACGTGAAAGACGCGAGGCTTGGATTCCAGAACTTACCAAACCAGGCCTCGATTTATAACCAGAAGAAGCACGTATGTAATTGCGGCAAGGTGTACAGTCAAAAGAGTTCGCTTGATCGACATCTACGGTACGAATGCGGAAAGACGCCAAACGTGCCGTGCCCGCAATGCGGGAAAATGTTTAAACACAGGCATCACGTGACGCAGCATTTGGCGAGTTGCCGTCTCAAAGATATGAGAAACTCTGACTTTCTCAAGATGTTCCACGTCGATCTTGCTCCCCGTTGAAAATATGGGGATTTGTTATTTTTGTAATTTATTTATCAAGAATATCCTCGTTACTATTTCGAAATAAATCAGAAAATATGGATTTTTCCCGTACGATTCGTTTTTCAACGATCCTTCGAGTTACATTTACTCAAAAAGAAAACCAAAACTTTACGACAAATATAGACAGTATATTATTATTAGTACATTCATTTTTTTTTTTTTTACAAATACTCAGATTCACACTCGATATCATTCCCGAAACTAAATAATTATTTCAATTAATCGCTCCATTATCGTCTGCTTGCATAATTTTCCAGAATCAATGTGGCAACAACTGGCGCATAATCGACAACGATCGAGAACGCGTCAAGGGAAGGAAAACGCGAAGCAATGTAACGAAACGAGATTTTTCTGCGAGTCTTGTGGGAAATCGTACAAGTGGAAGGAGTCTCTGCTTAAGCACAAGCGCGTGGAATGCGGAAAATTACCGCAGTTCAGTTGCGAGGTTTGCGGATACCGATTCATGCACAAGCATCATTTGGTTAAACATATGGCCGCGATTCATCGAATGTCTCCTCTGAGCGGGGCCGCCATCACGTCTTCCAGTAGCGGGAAATTTAAGTGTCTCTATGAAAATTCTGTTGCCATGGAAACGATGTAATATTGCAAAATAAAGTTTTATGACGTCTCTAACATCACTTGTTGATTCGCTGATGCGAGATGTGTACTTTTAAAAAATAATCGAGCGTTTAAGAGCAGCATTTTTAACGCGAAACGATTCTATTAATTTCTATTAATTTTGATTTCAGGTTTATTCTTCGTACAACATCGATACGACTATGGAACTCGACTATGATAAGCTTTCTTTAATAAATTTATTCGACAATAATTTCAAATTACAAATATGAAATTTATATTTCTATTGCATTTAAACGTTCGTTTAATTTTTATTTATCGTTTCTTTGAAACAGGATTGAAACAGTTGTTGAGAAATAATTGATCGCCTTTATTTTTATCTGTCTCTTCTATTACAGAGCGCAACACTGAAGATAGAAAAAATTCTTTTAAGAAGATTTCTCTGCTAAAGAAGATACGCATAGAAGATTCATCCGTCACATCTGTTACATCTGGAAGAAAATCAAAAGCAGAATTTAATTAATAATTCGATGCTTCGATCATTATAAATTATGTTCCCATTCTTTGAATTCATATAATCATTTTATATATTTAATTTCTAAAATTTGTACGATTTGAATATGTTTCCGAATCTCTGATTAATTGAAATAGAAAATAAAACTTTCTTAAGAACCTTAAAAATCATCATAGATTCTATAAATAACTTATTATATTTTGCTTCACACCTGATCATCACCTAAAAATGCGCAGCTATCAATCTTTTTTATTAAACCTCATTTTTTATTAAAGTTCAATATTTCTCTCTAATATTCGAAATGTATTTTTCCTCGTTTCTCGCATATTTTGCTTAAAAACCTATAAATATACATATACAAATATATATATAAAACTTTCACTTTCTATATAATATCAGAAGTCTATCGATAAATTAACAAACACGATGAAAGAAGAAGAAAGAGTGAGAGAGAGAAAGAGAGACAGAGAGAAACAGAGACAGAGAGAGAGAGAGAGAGAGAGAGAGAGAGAGAGAGAGAAGAAGAGAAGAAGAGAATATGTATAGAA